TGTCCCGGTGAATAATGCAGCCATTACGGTTAGTATCGCAAACGTTAAAGCTAGTCGTCGTGTTTAATAATACTACGTCGAGGATATGCTTCGTGTACTGTATCAATAGCACGTCTATTGACGTCTCTTCGACCGAGAAATATAGTTGGCAGATTAATTATCAAACTGGCAAAGATGCGATATCATTTCCGACACTCTAATGCAGAGATTTTCATTGTACAGCCAATAATTAAGAGGTACCAATAAAATAAACTTTGACAAGAAAATAATTTCACAAATGGATCACTTATATTTCTGATGAGAATTGTACACACGACGTGTATATCGTAAACGATTTAAATTGCTACTGAAAATTACATAGTATCGAATTCAATTTATTTTACGGCTGTATAATTAATATTAATTAATCAACTGTCCAATTAACGAGCAGCTGGTTGATGATCAGTAATCCAGAATGCGAACGGGAGTAGACAGGGTGGGTTGTACAAAATTTTCGAGCACTTTTCTCGGGAATTAACAGGAACGAGAACCAAGTTCTTTTTTCAGGGTACGCAAATGTAGCTTTTTTTTTTTTTAGAACCATAAAAGAATATAAAAATACCTACACTGTTTCATGGAAAAATTGGAGATGGCTTCTTTCTGTGGAATATAGTAACAATGCCTTGTTTATTCTGTGCATTTGCATACTGAAAACCATAATTGGCTACTTTTTATTTGAATAGCGAATAAGAAGTACCGAGAAAATACAATACTGTTTTATATCAAATAATTCCTTGTTCTCGTAATCAATAATTTAAAAGCACAATTGGTCTTTCTATTAATAATAAAAAGAAAGGAATATTCATAATAGAAAAAAAAAAATGGTATTCAATACAAATTCAATCTTTCGATCAGTTTTATTTCTCTTTTATGGATTTTTTGAAGCTTCTTCGTATACGTAGACTGCCTTTTCGTGTAACGAAAAATGTTCAAACGCATAGAAAGTAAAAAATTATTGAATACGATACATAAGACGATTCGTATCCCGTGTTTTTACGTTGAAAATTCATCATCCGTACCAGATGCAACACTCGACCGCATTTAAATACGTCTCTGCTCATAGAAACTAACACATTCATGACATTTGCATTCACGTGATATTTTTTTACCCTTCCGCCCGAACCCCTGAGGGTGCTCAACGTTCAAATTCTACCAGCCCAAAGCTTCGCGTGTAAAACAAATTAACATCAAACGAAGCGATGTTGTTAACAGATATCGTTGTTAAGAAATAAATTTTTGTTAAATCACAATTACCTACTGTTTTTTCACCGGCGGCGTCAAATGAATCAGGAAGGAGAGTACGAACAATTCACACGATTCCTATTTCTCGTATGCAAACACGCCCGCACAAACTTCGACGCGTAAAGTACACATGGAATTATCGTGGCAATCGTTGCACATAGCACCCATCCACGCGATTCGATTCGATTCGATTCGATTCGATTCGATTCGATTCGATTTGATTCACGTTTCCACCTATTCACGGCTCAATTGGCACGGTTAAAGGTGCGCTCGTACGCCAGATTAATAATCGTCAGTTTAGGCGGTTTTTCTCTAAAGAACAATTCCATAACAATTGTGCAAGTATAGAACGACAGACAGGAGAAGAATACCAGCATAATGCTCGGTAACTTAGGGGTTCGTACGAACGTGTAGTACGTTTTTATTTGCTTGTATCGTCACACGGCTTTTCTATTGCGTTATTCAACTTCTGAACACTGCGAACCAATCAGTGATGCATTTTATAAGTTTCTCCGTGTTGTGTTCGCGATACTTGTACTTGTATTGTATTTCTTCTACTTTATAGGTTCTCAAGTTTTATGTCGGTTTTTAGTAGTTTTCCAAAGTAGAAAAGCATGTCTGACCAGTCAACGGCTATACTACTTAGGATAGCTTACCGCTTGGGAACTCCAAGTGCCATTGGCTTTTTTCCCCTTAAATTAAAAACTTCTTAACAACTGTGTATTCCGTATTAAAAGCTCGTTCCTCCACTTTTCTGATTTATTCGCGCCGAACTTTGGCCATTGAACGTTAAACTCCTCGTTACAGTAATTGCAGGATACATCAATCACTAAATTCTTACTCGAACAGGTCAAAGCAATTAGTGCTTTCTACCGAATATAGGCTCTGGCAAAAGTTGAGAATCAAAGCAATTGCTCGCTAACTTTAGACGATACTTAATAAATTGTTTTCTTACAATTTCGAAGCAGTAACAACGTCGTCCTACTTTCTCTTCTCGCGTCAGTCGGGTCTCGGAGCTTTGCGGAGGGGTGGGTGTTGATGGAACAATCTGCTGTTTTCAAACTATTTAACCCGAAATGGGAATCATCGGTTAACAAATGGTGTATTGGGTTTCCGTTCAAACGCAACATCGGAGAAAATTTCAAGTGAAACGCAAACTGTCTATGTACAAACGGACGTACTCTGTTGGAGCGTAGAAATCGATTTCTGGTGTTCACGCCCTCGAATCCGACGGAGATAGAGGATAAATGCACGAGGTAATAGGATGTAGGATTAACCGTACGAAGAAGGATTGCTTCTTCCTTTTTCTCCGCGGATTACTCGTGGAGTAATTCTAGAACGATCAGTTTCCCTTACGTCGCTTAACGTAAATATCATCATATCTTTTGCTCTTGAGAGGTATTTCTTAATACCTATCTCTCTTCGCTTAATCCATTCGAGAAGCTGCTAAACGTCGAGTGTTTGGTATAACAATACTGAAATCGAAGAGCAAGGCTATCTTTACACACCTGATTGATATGCTTTTTAGTTCCAGTAAGAACAACCGGACAAATCCTTCTGGGAGAAGTCGATATCGTCGCGGCTGAAGAAGAGAACGCTGCTGAAATAACGACAGAGGAATCATTCCCGAAAAAATGCGTCGTCGATGGAAATAGTTATTCTCACAGCCAGACAGTGAGTATTTTTATAGTAAATCGTACTTTCTTCGAATAGCAGATGCGTATTTATCGCTAGAGACACACGGTGCACGATGAAAACGGGTCAATCAACACCTCTATTCATCACTCTACTGCAACATGCTCCGTAGACTGGTATATTCCATACAGATGTTCATACAAATTTCATTTACTATGAATCTAAGCAGACATAGTCGTACACAAAGTTCAAAGGAGATAATTAGAAAACTGAATATTTCTTAAAAATAAACCTGGCTCCAAACCACGCTTGTCCTAAAATTTCATAAACATCTAATTTCGTGTTTATCCTTCTCTTCTTCTGTATTTTACTAGGCAAAGCATTCCTGAATCTCCTTCGTTTCAAAGACTGTTGCCGGAAGTTTGCAACGTGCATTGACTTTGCCGGAAAATTCAATAATACGCGCCAGCAAAACGTTTCAAACGCGCCCGTATTCCAAGTGAACTTTCTGTCTTGTTTGCTGCTATCATATTCAAGGCAGGTGCCATTTAAAGCAATACAAACATGCACAGCTCATACAAATACCACTATTATGACAGTCTTTCAGGAGAGACAGGTGAAATTTAACTTAAAACGTTATGTGTCAGAATTTCTTTGAAACTATGGATAAGATTTTAAACCCTGATTTTCCTTCTCTGCGTTTTGTAAATATTCCATTATAATTCCTCAGACACCCATGAGGAAGGTAACAATGGCTGTCGCCGTGGTACCGATGTCCAATTAACAGGTAGTGACATCCACGAGAATCCATCGAAAGTCGATGCGTCTGAAATTTCTGCTCTGAAAATTAATTACATCGAATCCATCTAATTTTTCAGTCTCCTCTTCTCTCATCGCATATTTATTTTATCTTTTTGTAGATGTTTCTATCGCTTCGATGTCACGCCGAGTATCAATATCGTTAATTAGAGTTGGATTTATGTGATGACTTCCAGTGAACCACGATTGATGGTGCTACTGACGATGAGATATGGATTTCGGGCTCTTCATTAGATGGAGGATACATATATGCTCACGCATAATAATTCATTCATTATTTCTTCAGCTCAGAATATCTCTTTTTTTTTTTTTTAACTTTATTTATCAACATTATTCAATAATAAAAGCGGAGGTATCACAAAATTGTTATTAAATAGCTTCATGCGAATTCAATGAACGTTTTCCGGACACATCTAAATGTTCTATTTTCATTTCAGATACCATCCTACGACCTGAACTCCCATTGTCTCTGCGTGGTAGGTGAAGTATATTGTTGGTGGCAGAATTACAATCCGAGCACAGGTACTTCGGTCGACGTCTCGTTCCTGCCGTCGACGACGATAGAAAGTAATTACACGCCGTCGCTGGAGGGCAACACGAATGCCGTCGACAGTTTGGAGGCTTCCGGTGATCCAGCAGAGGAGCCATCCGTCGAGCCGCAGCAGGGATACGCGGAGATAAACGCGAGTTACTCGACTACATCGCAAACTGCGTCGACCACGTGTCTCGTGATGGGTAATAGATCAGTCTCACTTCAGTTTCGCTTGATTTTTTTCTTTTTTTTTTTTTATCTCTCTATGCCACGAGAGTTGTTAAGCCATCGATTTTCTCTTCAACCAGAGTTACACTGCAATTAGTTTCGGCTCGAACTTACCATGCGAAAGAGAAATATTAACAGAATGTTCGATAATTATTATCTTCTGTAAAGTTTTGGCGTCTACCGTTTGTTTAAAAGCTCCATTGAACTCGCCTTGACCAGATAAGAGTTAGAACATAAACGAGACGTCGGAATGAACGACGAATTCATCTTGCAGGAAGAGAATACCGGGAGGGCGAGGTACTGCCTCACTCGACCGGAAATTGCATCGAGTGCAGCTGTGGATCCGAGGGTCGGGTCGAGTGTTCGCCACGCGACTGTGTGGCCCTTCGACCCGAGATACCAGTTTCACCGGATATACCGAACGCACCAGACGGCGATTTTGAAGTGTTCAATCTTGCCAGGGACCGAGGCATCGACGAGAGCTTCTAAGGAATCCGATAATAACGGATGAATTCCTCGGACACGTTTCGACTTCGGCTTAATCCTTCTGCAGATTCTTTCCTATTTTCATTTTCTCGGTAACTGCTTGTTGATCGATATAATAACGCTCCTTAATTCATCGATGAATTAAGTTATACGTTTGAAATGAAAGAATGTAGACAGCCGGTAAGATCCATAAAAGGATAAATACAACGTAGCTTTAGAATGAGAATATCATCTATTTTGGGAACCCACTTTTCAATCAGTATACATATTTTTGTACAGTTATTTATCCAGTAATTTTTCATTCACAGTATCGATATTATTTGTAGCTTAAAATCTAAGTATTTAACGACGAGATATCAACTAAAGAGGCTGTAGTTTATTTTCTACGTATACATAATAATAATAATTGAGTATTAGTAAATTAATTTTAAAGAACGTATTAATACGTTGACAACGAAGATAAAGGCCATATTAGTAAGTTTATGTAATTGTTTTTATTTTGAACAGAGATGTTATACAAGCTAATTTTAAGAAACGCGTCAATATATTAATTGTATACTAGGAATAGAATATAATTTCAGACATAATTATTTTTATGTCGATCAACAAAGCGTCAATACTTCTAAGCTCTAATTATAAATTGTAGTTTTCTACAAAACTAGTCAAAATTAGTCAAATTTATACACTCTTCCTTCTTATTCTTTTAGGCTTTCTTCCTTTCATTTGAAACACCAAAGAGTAATAACTAGGGTCCTTTGAACGCTTTCTTTTCATACGCTTTCTTCATTTTAAAAAAGTGTATGAAAAACAAGCATATGTGAATTACAATACGCGTGATGTATATTAAGACGATAATTAGAAATAATTGAAATTCTTTTAACACGTTGACTGCCATGGGGATCGTCGCTGATCGGTGTTGCACTTTTAATTTGAAAAGAAGAAAGTTGTGTAAGAACGAACATTCTAAATATCATAAACCATAATTGAATGCTTTTACTATGGCAATCAATGCGTTAAATCAGTTTATGTTGAGTTTAGTGGTTGTTTAGTGTGATTGATAGGAAACCACTGAAAATTAGAACGCTCTTTCAAGATGTACGAGCAGACTGTAATTTATTACCCTCGAGATTTGTAGACGTTTTGGAGCTATGGGACTAATTTATCAAGCGATGGATGCTGGAAACGATCAATCTCTATGTCCTATAATTGTGTGTCATTTCGTTTTATTCGTGTTACCGATAGAGGTGTGGCAGTAATACGAAATACCCATTATTATATTTTAAACTTTAACAAAATTCATATGAAAATACTAAAGACAATCAAATCTTTTAATCCTTGGAAAACGGATAAATGCTCGGAGACTGACGCGGTGAACGAATGATACGTTATTATATGCAGATTTGAAAGTAGAATTATATACAAAATTAAAAATATATTTTCACGTTATATTTAAGAAGATTTGATACAGAGAACAGTTTTATTTTTTACTTAAGCTTTACAATATAAATTTTCTACATTTTTCAGGGTTTTATCCCTGTAGCTGAGTCAAAATGATTCTGCATCTGTCGTGCAAGGATTAAGTTGATTTTTTCAATTTATCTCATAATGATACACGTTTGATATAATTCAAATAGGTGAATATTTCTGGCAGCCATCGTAAGTTATTAGTTCTTTCGCTTACCAAACAATATTCTGTATGCATTTCGAGGAATACTACGATAAGATACAACGGTAAATGAATAAATCTGTAGACATCGGCCTATAACGTACGAATTAATGAATTTGGGTATGAAGAAAACCGATCTGCGAATCGGAAGTGAATCAACTACCCGTTTAAGAGCAACCACATTACGGAGCTTGATAGTACTCGATTTTATGTAAGCTCGTAAACATATAGCGGCTGATAAGTATAGGATCAGTTTATAATATAAAATTATTTCTTTCTTTATTGGCTTTTCATGTGCAATAGGCAGATGCAATAGGTGGATGAATCATTTTTAATAATCAGGGATCAAGAAAATGAAACTATAGATACTTGGAAGAATTTTACATCTTTGTTGAAAACTGATCCTATATTTTTAGCTGATGATGTAATATTCATATCATCATATCCTTTGTCATATTCTAGTCGAAGCTTAGTCATATCCTGTTCATAATCATGTTGCTTCACCTCCTATGGGTCAAGTAAATATCACATCTTTTGTACTTTAACGACAAGAAACTGTACGAGTTGTTCGTCAAGTTTATGGATACTTTCAGTAATATATATTATATATTAAAAATGATAAAGAAAATGTATACGAATTTCATGAGGTATACGATTATTGTAGTAGTCTAAAACCATACAAAATTAATTTACTGTGTATGGATTGCAAATTCAAATTATACTCCATCATTTTGCAATGAAGATGATATTATTTAAGATATTTGCTAAGGATGAAATTAAATTTGTTTTATTAGGGTCGAGTAAGTAAGAAGAAGTTCGTAACATTAGATGAGATTTTGAACTTTGTTTTTAATGTCACGATTAGACACCAATCGCGCCACGTGTTCTTCAGTTGCAGACTACCTAACCTTTAAATGTATTTGATTAAAATTTGAGATGACTGAAAATTTATTACAAAATAGACAAATGGGGAAGATGATTCAGTGACAACAATGCTTTAACAATGGTAAGCTGTCATAAGGATCTAATAAAAGTCCCAGTGTGCAATAAAGATTGACTCAGTTATAAGCTTTAGGAAAAGCATTATATATATTTACATGATTGAATCTTTTTATTTACTCGACATTTATATCTTCAAATAAATAATTAAATGATTCGAGAAACTAGACGAACATTTCGTACAATTACATTGTATTATGAAAAAATATCAAAGTTTTAAAAGAATGATTAGCGTAGTTCACTCTAAAGTAAGGATTACATAGCAAGTGTCAAAGTTAACTGAAAAATAACTTTACTCCTGATTCCCCATGTGTGCAGATTGATCATTGTAACATGTATCAAAGTCATATTACAAAGCAAAGGGTTGACTGCCATGGTGGTCACCAATAACTAGTATCATAAACTTGATATAATGAGATACTGTGCTAATGTGCTGTAATGCATATAATCAGTTTCACTATGGCAGTCGTGTTAATTAAAAAACCAGTAGTATACCTCAATGCCTGAATTTAAACTTGAATAGTAATCTAATCTACTGATGAGCAACCTTTTTCTACAATGGGTCAGGATTGTAAACCCAATAATTTGTATGGGCTATTACTACCATAATCTTATAAAACTTTCTTTATTAATTTATTAATCAATGTTGATGATGATGATGGTGATCATGATGATGATGATGATGATGATAATGATGATGATGATGAATACGTCTGGTAATTGGTTTTTGGCCAAAGAAAGCAATGAAATACAGATAATATACGTACATAATAAATAGATATATTTTGATAAAAAAAAAAAAAAAAATTAATATACACCTGGATGCTGTTTCAGGCCATGGGTTGCTCATCACTACCCTAATCCATATGTATGTGTGCCCCTACCAAAAGCAGAGATAAAGAAATCTTACATTATATGGATCAATATGCACAATATAATTAATACATATATATTATATATACATACTATTATATTCATATATACCTATATATACACATTACACAAGGAACCAAATATCAAGAGATAATATTGTACCTATTTAAGCATATAATATACATATAAATTATATCTAGGAGTAGGATATTAAAACATTTCAACTTGTTATGCACTTTTTGTAGATATGCAGTAACAATTTACCTCTTTGTTCTGTACAGTTGGGTGCAATGCGGGCTTCCTTTCATTGAGAGTAAGCATAAGGAAAGGAACCATCTACTGTTTGCCTTCAATCTTGAGAATACCAAGGAAAAAATAAGAAAAGCTAAACAAGGTGGATGGTGGAAAGTTTCTACACTTCCTTTTAACTAAAGGAAGCCTAAATTGCATGTAACGATACATTGCAGCGTTCAATGACACGAAGCATGATTTTGAGAAAAAATTTAGTTGTTGGTTGTATACCTTTTGTTACCTTGAAAAATTATGATTATACTTACACGACGACGAGTTAATTGTTTATAGTTAAATGCATAGTTAGGTAGAGATCTAATGTGATAAAGGTAACTTTGTCTAAAAGTTTTACAATACATAAGGAAACGAAATACGATCCTATTGCAAGATTACTGTAAACTTGTACGAACGCTTATTTGATTAGGAAATATACAATGGAGGTAATCGGACGGTGTTTAAAACGACGGTGCAACGATTAAATTTATTGTCATACAAATTAATTGTGCTTTTCGTTTTCGTATAGGAAACAGAATCCCGGTGAATTTAGTAAAGCTGAGACGCGAAATTGTAAAAAAAAGAACAGAATGAAATGTGGGATCATCACGGGATCATCACGGGATCACGCGGGACCATCATGGCAATTCATCTTTTCTTTACGTTTACATTTGCGTATTTGATCTCGTACGTCTTCCAGTCATCCCACACATTGTTGTGTCTGTCTTGTACCCGTGGGATCTCTTGTCTTCTTAAAAAGGGTTGTATGTTAAATAAAGAAAAACCTTACGATACCCTTAGTTTCTCTTATTCTTGCATATTTTAGGCTGAGAAGGAAATTTAATCCTCAAAGTATAATATCTAAGAATTATGTGAAATAGTCCAGCAATTAATTTTTATCTTATCAAATATGAATCCTACTCAGTATCTACGATAATACAATCTGGAACTACCTTGACACTGTTATTGTATTATCCATATCAACAGCTGGCGGATAATGTTGATAAATTTTAATGTAATAGTGATACGGAAGTTCCGTTTGTAACTAATGTTGCCAGTTATGATAAATATCTTATGCATTAGAATCGTGCCAATTCTTCCGGTGAAGTATAGGAAACGGGTAACCATTATGCACAGAAATGATTTATTTGAAAATGATTTATTTCAGAGCTATCTGTTGAACAGTGCAAATCAGGGGAGCCATGGAAGTCGTGGAAATGAAAGTTATGGAAGCAAAACCATTCGCTAACTTAAAAGAGCTCTATGATAATTTGGGTAACTTGAAACGGTGGCCACGAATCAAAGAACTGAGAGAATCAACTGATTACGTCTATCAAGGCTCTGAAATAAGTGGTGAAACGTTAAATCTGACAAAAGTGGACAGACAGGAACAACCAAGAACTTTACTGTGTCATGATATGAAAGGTGGTTACCTCGAAGACAGGTAACGTTTATTAGAATTATTATGTATAATATTTAATTTTCTGTGTCATAGAATATCTTTTTCAGATTTATAGATGGGTCGAATTCTTACAATTCTTATCTATTTTATCACTGGAGCGGTATAGATACATTTGTATACTTTAGTCATTATTTTATAACTATACCACCATTTGGATGGATTAATGCAGCACACGAGCACGGTGTCAGAGTTCTTGGTACTGTGATTACCGAAAGAGAAGGTATTTGGGATGTAATACTTGAGTCACAAGAGGAAGCAAAAAAGTTTGCAGACGCTCTCGTTCTCGTTGCAAGGTTTTATAAGTTTGATGGCTGGTTGTTGAATGTTGAAAATGCAATTAAAAACGAACAGATTAATAATCTTATTTATTTCGTGAAATACCTAACAGAAAATATTCATGATGCTGTGAAAGATTCTGAAATTATTTGGTATGACAGTGTAACCAATGAAGGAAAATTAAGCTGGCAGAATGAACTTAACGATCAAAATATGTAAGATATATTCGCAATCAATATTGTTAAAAGTTTCATATTAGTTTTTGTTTATAATATGCGTTTAACATTTCAGCGAATTCTTCTTAAATTGTGACGGCATTTATCTGAATTACAATTGGACCAAGTCTAAGTTGCAAAATAGTTACACACTTGCAAAGAATCATAAGAGAAGTGTGAAAAATATTTATGTGGGTTTGGATGTTTGGGGTAGAGGCTGTCCTGGTGGTGGAGGTTTTAACTCGGCATATGTAATTATAAAAGTTTACTTTTGGATATTTTTTAAAACAATTTAGCAGTGACAGTGGTATTATAAATTACAGGCTTTAGAAAAGATACGACAAGAGGGACTTTCGGTTGCCATATTTGGCCAAGGTTGGACTCACGAATTTTTTGGACCCAAAACATTTCTAGAATTAGAAAATTTATTTTGGGCACAATTATTTCCTTATTTGTACGTCCATGTACCCATTTACGAGGATGAAGTATTTAAATCGTCATTCTGTCATGGAAGAGGAAGCTCGTATTACCGTTGCGGTGAGGTAAGTATAATAATTATAATCAAATATGTTTTCTAAGTAATAGCTCAGTTTTAATGTAATAAAAATTTCACAGATACAAATGTACCGGCGTCTCGTAGAAGACAAATTAAATACATTAGAAGAAAAACCGTTCTATAACTTGTCTCTACAAAAGCCTCAGATTTCTGTACCTATGCCGAATTTGAAATTCACACTATTTCCTCAACCTGAGGAAGCAAAAAGTGAAGATGATAGAAACGAATGTGCAAGAAAGAAATCTGTAGAATACATATACGAAACGAAAAATAATATTATCCGAATATTTGAGAAGAACGTAGACATCCAAACTAAAACACCTGTACCAGATATAAATTGCTTTGAATTTTGTAATGAATTTTCTTTTGAGGGAGGTGGTTGCCTAAAGTTAATTACAAATAATTCTGGATTGTATCACAGGTGAGAACCATGTATCCTATAACAGATATTTTTCTATATATTAATGATTAATTTACTTTCGAAAGATTATTTTTGGTCCACGTCGAATTTGAACAAGATATCGAAGCAACAATTGTATATAAAGACATGGAATCATCAACAGGAAGTAGGGTTCGTAACAAACCGATACTAGTTTTGGGAAACGATACTGGCTTAAGATCTATTGTATGTTATAAATCGGAGAACCTAAACTCTAGTTGGAAAAAATGGCAAGTGTAAAAAGATATAAATATGGTTTGTTCAAAAGTATGTTTCTTAATATTTTTCTATAACAACGTTTTCTTTCTGTAAACAGTATCTATGATACAAACATGAGGACGGTAAATGAGATTGGTGTATCCTTCGCACGGAAGAACGTCTGCTACCTGGGAGAAATTATTCTGGAGGAAAAACAACGCCGTTTGAACGGTAAGTGAATTCAGCATGGTTTTATCACTTGTACTGTCGCTCGCATTCCATGCATTGAAAAAGTGCGCGTACAGGTGGATTGCATGATAATAATAGCATATCTTTAGACCAGGTTCCCAAACGTAGAGAAAAAAGAAGAGTTTCTCAGCGATTACATATTCTCAATTACATGTTCTTTTCCACGATCGATTGAGAACCACTTTAGTGAAAGGAATACCGATGTTTCACGATAGAACACCTATCTAACGTAACTTATCGCTCGATATTTCACAGGTTGGAATCGCAAGTACACGATAAAGCCATTTCTCATCGGTTAGAGCCCCTGTATCATTAGCTGAAGAACGTGCAGTCAGTCCTTTTTATTTTTCGGCATTCACCTCTATACTTGAGTCTCACCTGTGTAATGTAGAACTCACTTGACTCGAAACTCGTTATTTCTCACGATACAAGGGTGTCAGCATTCCGTAGCAGTAATTTGTTTGATGGAAGAACGAAAAATGCATGTAGCCAGTCTTGCATGGAGACCGTGCAAAGGAGGTCGGGGCATCATAACTTGGATGACTTTTTTTTTTTTTTTTTTTTTTTCACCGATCGATATAGCATTTTATACCGTGTACGCGAGATTTTAATAACTCCACAGGTGTAGACTCGAGTAGTTGTATTGCGAAGGAGCAACCGAAATTACGTTCACGCGTGTCGCAATCTTATGGACTATTTGTAACCGAAGTATACGATCGGCTCATTGATATTCTTGCGGTTATCGGGTCAAATTTTTCTGCCGTTCTACCTGCCGTTACACTTTGCATCATAACGCTTCTTTTCTTTTTTTTTTTTTTTCTCTCCTTACCTTCTCGACATCGTTTCAGCCGTCAGCAACGCTGCTGCCTTCGCGCGCGCGTTACTTGACCGCTTTTAATTTACATGTAACCTTTTCAAGCGCATTGTTCTGCTACTTTTCGCCTTGCACGCGTGTCGTAAACACTCTTACATGATTTAACGAAGAAGCTTTCGGAATAATTGAATTTTTAAACGAAAGGGTTAAGGGTTTAAAATTGTGCCTCTCCAAGGGTAAATAGGAAACCTCTTTATTATCTATTAAATATTCTCCATCGTTGAATGTTACAATCTTGAATAGTTAACTAAGCATAAAGCTATTTCTCGAATGATTTCACCGTCTCGATTCGAAGCAGGAAAGATTCCGAATCGACGCGAGGATCACAGCTCGATGACCAGGCACGATTTACTTTTGCGGCAAGACGAGTGTGTTTAGTTGCAGAGGAAACAGCATAGAATGCAGAAGACGAAGGAGACGTTGTCCCGTTGAAAATGTTTCCTTGGTCGAGGCACGAGCCGCTTGCTCCTTCTCTTTTCTACCTCGAATCTTCTCTCCTCTCTTCGTGTCTCGTAAAACGACTAGATCGCCTTGGTCGAGCAGGAAAACACTCTGATCTCATCTTGTAAATATGAACATTCCTCTCTTATTGCCTCCTGGACAAGCAGTCCCGTGAAATGCCGAAGATTTTATGGAAATGGCACGACTTCTCCTCGAAACGTTCCCGAGATCAACGATCTATTACATCGTTTTCTAATATACTCCTTGTGTAATTCTTCGCGTAAATAGAATATTATACTTGTCTCTGATTATTTTAAAACTCTATTACAGCAAAGTATAAAAATTTTGTTAACAGTTTCCATTCTAATTCGGTATTCGGTATTCGGTATCTGAATTATAATTCCACTAATTTTCAAGCGAATCGTTGTTAATAAGGCTGTTGCATCTCTGGAAAGCGAAGCGCTTAGATATTTTAAGATCGTATCTTCCATTTGAGTACCATTATTTGGTTAATGACTTTAGTTACCTGTTTTTAGTTTCACTGGCTAGAATGCTGGAAATTCAAGGTTGGATAATTATTGTGCGATACGATCCGGCTACCCGAGGAAATCATCTATTATATTATGTGTGACTTGATTTTAAATATTAGAATGTCAGTTTTCAGTTACGTACCGTATAGGTGCATGGTATTTCCTATTTGACCCCGAAAGATGATGCTTTAAGAGAGAAAGTCTCATATTGCCTAAGGAAGTATAGTCTGTCATCCTTTAGGATGTCATCTGAGACATTGTGCATCTTTGCCATGTACTGCAATTTCCATAATAAAGGGCTCGAAATACGTGAAAGTTAAAGTACATAGCGTTTGGTTTTATCGTTAGTACAGGGAAAGTTGCATCTTTTATGGGTCAATAAGGCCCAAATCTGATATTTTCTTATTCTTCCTGTCCCTGGCTCTCCTTCCAATCTATGTAACAATCCTAATAACTTCTATACTAAATTCATTGAATTGCAACATTTCGATTGCATGATTTTCTCAATTGTTCCTTACGCCTCCGATTTGTATAAAAACGTTTCGTCTTCGATTTAATTAAATTGTCCTATTGCGAAACGAGAGGTATTCGCATTCTCACGTGCATCGCAATGTCCACTGGATGCCCACGATTCGCATTAAACTAAGTGGATCTGTGATCTCTGTGTCCGGGTATTTTCACTCTGTACAACAACTATATTTCGCAACGGAGCTTTCATTGTGTTGCAACCGGATAGTCATTTACAAAGGAAGATGCGTAGAGTTTTATCGATGCCGATGCCGATGCAGCAACCGGTGTTATTCATAACATGCAAGGTGGTTGCACTTGAGCCTCCGCACGTTAGCACCGTTTTCTTCTAACTATTGCATACTAATGCCCACTAATTTCTGCCATTTACTTTCAAATTGCTAATGGATTAATGAAATTGTAAGCGTTGGGGAGAAAGTCGTTAACAATTTTATTCATTTCTATTGTTTTCTTCAAATTCGTAACCCTTTCATTCAGATAATAATTAACCAAAAACTAAGAGGATATTATATTTATTTTCCTAAAAGTATTGCATTCACGAATACGATCACAATAGATGTGTTACAATTATTATACTTTCAAGATCTACTTACAGTAGGAAAGCAGCAGTGTTAAATAATGAAATTGCGAATATCAGGCCATTCAATGCAGTAATAAGTAATAAGTAAGATGGTACGTGTATACACGGCGAATTAGGGTCAGATAAGGAATCGTTAAGTATAAAATAACGATGAAACTAAATAATGCAGGAATTCGAGACTAATGATTTCCTTTAGCGCTAAGAAACTTCTCTAAAACGAGTAAAATCAAACGTACGCGAAGTGTGCCGGTTACGGAATTAATCTTCTCGTTTTATCTATCTCGTCAAGTCTGTTACGGACATTTTCATTCGTGAATAAGAGAAAGAAAAAAATAGACCATTACTGTTTCGAACAAGGCTACATTGCTTTTCCTCTTTCCGCTCGAATGATATCGCATTTTATCACATCTTATCGCGCCGAACCCATTCAGAATTCAACGTTTCGTTCGGTTACGTTTTTAGATTAATCCATTTACGTGCTATTTATTTTTCATTCATCCGTCGCAAAGTTCGTTTAAAAAGACGATGAAAAATTAGATATTTGCATTTGGAAAAATGATCGGCTTTCTAATCTCTTCAACATTTTCCTATATACATTTCCTATACAAATGCAGGTCGTGATCGACAACGAGAAAAGATTCAAACGTTACTATGATTTATTGTAGAATAATAAATAGATATTTGAGATTGTAGAAAAAGTATAAATTTGACAGGAACGAATTTCATTTCACCGCGACATTGAAAATGAAAAATCTCTCACAATCAGAGACATTTTGTCGCGTAAAGTGATAAAGGAAATTGACGATTCCAGATGATTATGATTCTAATTCTAAGAAAGTCGAAAGCAGACTGTTGAACTAGCGAGTCGAGAACGAAAGTAAAAGTAAAGCGGAGTCAATTTACTTTTAACGTGTAACAGTGTCGGTCCATTACACTTGCAGCGGATAATATCCGGACTATAATCAGAGATCAATTTCGTTCCTTTCGATCAGCTTCGATCAGCTTCGATCAGCTCGGTGTCGATAACCCTTGGTTTCCCTTCGATTTTCTTACTTTATCCTCGGCAAGTTGGAAAAGCTAGCAGGACGAGAAGGAAAAATGTGAAAAATTAAAATCCATTTTTATCTTGGACGAGATAATTACTTGATCGCCTCGGCGTTTCGTATGCCAGCCATTATGTTAATTAAAATTTTGCAAGCGTGCATAATTGCACCGGAACTCGATGGTGTTGCACGTTTCGCGGTTTGTCTTACAGAAATTCACGTTAATTCCGCTAACGTTTTACGATTTCCGCGTGGAATCACATTAACCCGTGCTTCTTAATGTTCCAATGGATCCTCGAGATCATTAGGAGATTATGATAGATCGCGGTAGATGATCGTTGGGGGTTGAAATCTGACCACCAGTTTCGATTAACGATGCATTCGTTTACTAAACACCTGAATTGTGCATCGATTACGAGGACACTGGTGAAAGTTGTGCATTGGTTGGCCACTTTTTGCGAATTCATCTTTTAGCTGGATACCGAGGAAAGTTAGAAAACGTATGTATACGTATGTAAGTACATACATCGTGGGAAATCAGGGAGACGGTCACGTATAGAAATCGCAATAGAATTCTGTAGCTGGCAGTCTGTACCTTGCCGGAGAAACAATCTGCACGGATACAATAACCTGACCTTTTCCATCGGCATTGCATTCCTTTTAGAGGCCTGCACAACATAAGTTTCAACGTGTCATTGTGTTTCTCGTACTAATTTCAACCTCTGGAAATAAAAGGAAGCAAGGGTTGTTTTTCTTTTTTCTTTTTTTTTTTTCTTACCAGTAAGAAGAAGTATTACTTATTGGTCGTTTGGCTTTTCCTTGAGGTCGCTTTAGAAAGGCCGAAGAAACCTCTGGAAGGCCATGTACGAATACTTTGCTCTTGCTTCCATCGCAACACGACGTACTATTTGCCAAAGTTATTCCAACAATTTCTTATTTTTCATAATGCTAATTAGAATTATGATCCTCCGACCGATGATATCGCGATTGCAATTAACAGCGTAGCTGTTAACTATGATCAACGCGCGGTGTATTCTATCATCATTAGGTACTTGGTTGCTTTCGAAGAATTTCAAAGCACTGTGAAACAATCCGAACTTTCTTTATAATATCAAATAAAAGAGATTAATTGAATTTTATACGATACTTCCTGTTTACTTTTCGCTATTATTTTTTTGAAAAATGATCCACCGAAGAGATAGTCGAGCAGGTATCGTTGTAGGAAGTGAAACGTATAATTAGGAAGATGGTTTTGATTAAATTGAATACAATTTTGTTATGAGAAAATTTATACGTAATATTTATTTCTTGATCTTTCTTTTACATTATTATTAATTTTTATAAGAAATTATTCGTATCAATTAAATATAATAATACTACTACATTGATTTATGTTTCAGTTTAGAAAGTTATAGATTCATTCTTTGATACGATACAAATAAATAAATAGAAGTAACATAATCTGTGAGCATTATCGTTCATTTGAATGGTCAATAAGAGCCTTGTAAAGCCTGTGTTTCCGTATAACGCGCTCGTCTTACGGTATTTTATTATACATATATGTAGATGCTTGCTTATGGGTTCGCTTATGCACCATTGCGATCCTTATGCACACGAATGCACACGGATGGGAACGTTGATTCCGAGTGCACGTGCGATTTAGAGTTCACCGTACTCTTATTCGAAGCAGTCCGAAGGGTGAGAAAATACCAGGATCGCCCTTAAACGTAATTGATCAATCAAAAATCAATTTTTCCGACTGATAGAATTCTTCCTTACGATATCTAGTATTATAAATGCAACGTTGTCTCTGCACATTTCCCTTAGGTACATTCGCTTAAATAACTTTTATTCATTTTAATACTTCCACTTCGATTAATTACCCTTGGAACATATAAAAAAATATGAAACTATTTTATTAAAATGTCTCGTGATACTTTTGGAAATTATAATCATTAGAAGCGTATCGGTTATTATTTTACATAAATAGATTGTAGTGAAAGTAAAGTGAAATTTCACTTTTCACTTTGTATCAACAAAATTGATCTTCTCAATTTTTCTGTATTAATTTTGGTAGCCTTGACTCGTTTCTTGTTAGCTTATGGATGGTATGGATAATTTTCGGTGTTGACGGGAAAAGGTTAATCAAGCATTCGACGTAATTTAATATCGTAGCTCCTTCTCGGCAATGATAGAATAGAAAGAGAATAGGGGCTATTCGGCTGATGTAAAGAAAGAGAGACGGAGAAAGGCCCTGCCTGAGGAGAGTAGTCGCAACCTGTACCGCTCGGAAGACTTCAGTCACTGATCGGGTGTACGAACAGCCGGTCGTACCTGAACTTTGAGAATTCTCGAGAAACGAAATTTCTCTTTTCCCATTTTTCTTTCTCTCTTTCTCTTTCTCTAACCGTGTTTCGATCAACCACGTAACACAGTGAGTGACATTCCATCATCGGTGAAGTGCACGTCTGGTAGAAGTTAGCTATGTGATAATCACACGGAAGAATAGTGACAGGCAACAACGTTGACCTGCTGAGGTATGTTTATTCGCGATCCTTCCACGCTCTTCGCTACAATTTCTCGTGGTTCCTTTACCTATCCTGAAAGTCTTTCAACCAAGTACGATCACCTTAGATTATAGATTTTTTAGAAAATATAAATTTACGCGAGAAATGAACGGCTCTGGAGGTCCTACCCCCTACTGTTTATAAAAGAGTACCGCTGCTCCTCATTTGTTCGAGGTAATTCATCGCGATATTCTTTTTCAACTTGCACAGAGATTCTTTTCCGGTCAGAAATTTACCGTACACGCTAGATTCATCTACCGTGAAAATCTGCGAAGCTTGTTAGGCTTCACGATCATTTCTAGATGATTTTAACGCGTTACACGCCGCGAGAAATGTAAGATTTACGGGAAATGTTTATAAGAGCAGACTGAGGAATTGAATCGTAATGCTTAACCCAGATACGCTTATCATCCTTGATGATTGTAAGATAAGTTTAATTAACACGTTCCAATTAGATTCCAAGTAGAAGAGGGACCAATCATTCGTTGCCAATTGTAGCAGTTGCATGTCAAACGATTTTGAAACATAGAAAATATGACATGACATGATTTGATGACATAAACGTGACACTTGAGGCATATGTATCAAGGAGAGTACCGAGCTGTTAGATGATTTATTCATTCGTCGTTTATTCTAATGAAGAATAATTAAGAATAATTAAGAATATTAATGAAATCTTTAGGCGATCGTTTTTATTAAACTTTAACCTTTAATTTGTCAGTTCAATCATAATTTTTCAATTGTTTCATTTAATTTTTCTCGATTATAATTCAACATCTTGCTTTAATTTCCATACTATGGTATTCTCGTATATCAGTTCTAATCACTTGGCTGCATAATTCTGACTAGTTTGTAAAAATTTTTTGGTTCACAATGTGCAGCGACCTTGAAATAACACGAACTCGTCCTTCTTTTCCGGACATTCCAGAGACATTCTGAAAGAACAAACTGTACTTTTCTACGATTTAATGTTCGAACAAGATGCGCGTGTCAGCACGATTCTTTTTACCGTAACACGACTTTCCTTTGCCAAAACCTTAACGCGATTACTGCTAAATCATTTTAATTACGACCCATCGATAAGCGCGGGACAAACGCGCTTTAACGCAATTATTTCTTGTTTACAGATTATTATTCAGAAGAAATCGCTGAAAACTAATCTTAAATCTTCCATAAAAATCATCCACTAATTTTAATAAACTGAAACCTTTGATAAGTGCGTCGTATAATCGATAAAAGGAATAGCAAGCAGATTGGAAAAAGTGAATTTTGACGTAAAAATTTTGAAGTAGATAATAGCTTCGCAGTGGCTTAGAAGATTAATGAAACAGAAGAGGATCGCGTTTAAGTAACATTCATGATATACAAAACGTCGTTGGATCGAGAAGGAAGAGGGGTGTGTACAGTGTGATGTATGAAAACGTAATAGATCATTGAATAAAGAAGCATGGAGACTGCTACGATTACTCTTGACTCGACGGTCAGAAGTCAGGATTCGAGTAATTCGAAGAACTCGAAGGATTCGACCGCGTCCGATTCGAAACCGGAGAGTTGCCTGGAATCGAAACACTCGAAGGAGATTCTGATAAGTGAGAAACAACAACGACAACAACAGCACCAACCGCACACGCAGCAACAGTACGAGGATCGAGAGAAACTTAGGGCTTCAGAGGCGAAAGATGAGCTGAACATTCTTATGTTCACCTCCTGCGGGCAATTGCTACTTGGTAAGCCTTTCATCATTTCATAACGTAAAACTATTATAAAATAACTGTTACTCCTACTATGAAACACTGATAATACATATACAACAATTGATTTGACCTTTAGGTAAATGTCATTTTATACACGACATATGAATGAAAATAAATTTACGATAGTTGAAACTTGTTGCGAAATTGGTCGTCTGTTGGTAGCGAACACGGAAACCTGTTTGGTCAAGAGTTAATCCAATTAATATCATCACATTTCATGATAAACATGTTTGTCATACGATCGAGTCCCAAGTAAAAAAAAAAGAAGAAAATTTCAGTTTAATTCAAAGCATGTTTTTTTGGATAGTGATTATTTAAATTAAATTCATTCTTCCTTGTTCTTACAAGGACTGTCCCTGAAATGGTACCTTCGGATCTTAACGATCTTTTGCATAATGATAATCTGTTTCCTTAAGAAATCACAATTTTTCTCAGATTTCTGTTAACTTCAATAAGTATCCTACCAATGGTTCATTCCAGCGCTAACTGGTTTCTACTTTCACATAGTACTTTGATTGTCGTAGATTTCTGTAAATGAAGAATCAGTGAATTTCCATGCCATGACCACCGAGCAGATATTTCTCTAAAGTGGCGAGAAATCAGCGTAAAAGTGAAAACATTGCACTTAGAAAGTTATAGTACTTGTGTAACTCATTCCGTGGATTGCAATCCGTAAAGAATCACCCTGGCATGGCAAATAGAAAGAAAAGTTATTTGGAAAAAAATTCAAAAAGAAGGTCAATTTCCACAAGATGATGGTACTAGTAATCAGAGGTGGTTTTTTTTTAATTTTTTAATTTTTGTTTGCAGGTATAGTTCTTATAGTATTTGGTATCCTGGTGTTGGTACACGGCGCCTCGTTGGGAGGTACCGGTGCAGGACTATGGGCAGGCATGGGTGCCCTTGTCGCCGGAGCGTTGGGTGTCGTCGCTACGCTAGCGACGTCGTCGAGCAAAAGGAATTCCAGCTTTTCGACTGCTCACCTTGCGGCCAGTCTGATCGCCCTTGCCCTTTCGAACATGGCCACGATCACAGCCTTGACCGCCATCGTTAGGGACTCGCAGAGGACACCGGAAGTGACCTTGCTCACTGTTCCGGTACGTATTGTTCCGTACTTTCACCCTCTTCTTTATCGATATTCGAATCTCGATGCAACCAACAGTTATTTGCCAACACTTTCTTTTTTATTTCATACCTTTTCAGTAGTGAAATTTATTATGCGATATAAATATTAAGTATCGAGATTGCGATATTAGAAATCCGTCGAATAATTTCTTTTAAAAGTAATTTTACATACGATGTTGTACATTATTATAACTCTTCTTATTTTATTTGAAATGTACAAAGCGTTCGCCGATGACTCCCATGCCAGTGAAAAAGTCGTTAATCGCGATACATATACTCCAATTAGCCGGTAACAATGTTGGCCCCGTTTCGTTTTTCGTACCTCTGTTCCCGTCTGCTGGTTGCGTATTGGTGAGTTCCACAGGAGGACTGGCCAAAAGAGGGCCGATAAAACCGTTTAACCAGCAGAGAAAGTTTCCGATACCAAAACGCGGTCAGGGCAGATTTCAAAGTAAATTTCACGCGTTATCTTGCTCCTGTTACAGGGTGAAGATGAAGACGTAGATCGAGAGAGTGACTGGGGAGGTCTACTGGCTAGCATCGGGCTACTAGTGACCAGCGTCGCTGAACTGTTAGTTTCTGGCTACAGCTGTCTGACCTTGACCCCGAAATTATGCGGGTGTCTTAGGACGAGCAACGGCGAAGATGGAAACGTCGACGGTCGACTAAAGACCCGCAACATGGTGCATCAATGGGTCACGGCTCAAAGCCACGTGCCAAAGAGCCAGCCAATTTACGTGGTGCAGCCGATGCTACCGATGCACCCGATCATTCAGGTGAGACGAAACCCTTCCTTTGACTCGACCTCTCGCAAAAGGAGGTAGGGATAGGTCAGTGACACGCGAGCTAGAAAGTTCAGACGGCGGGCATCAAGAGAAACTCTCGTCGAATGGCTGCTCCAGGCGATTTCTGTGCCTACATTTCGGAGATGCACGAGCTCTCGGTTGTGCAGGTGTTTCTGGGTCACCAGGATAAGCTCCGCTGGGCCTATATGTACGCTCGATTTCCTCCTAACCCTCGGACCAGCGGATCGTAGTGATAGCATAATGTTTTTCTAATTATGTAGGTACAAGTTGAAGTCGTTCCAAGTTAAAAAATCTACGTTACATCCAAGTATATGCCATCTTCAGAAAGCTACAATTTACTTTTTTCTTCTTCTATTCAAACCTGATTCCAAAAGACACAATTCATGAATTCAATTTGTGACTCATAATGAGGTAATACAAAACAAAATAGCACCGTTAAGCGTAAAAACGCGACTAATACAGACATTTTCTTGCGGTCCTCGCGATGCTTCACGAAGAAACTTAAAATGCCAAATGGTCTTCCCGGTAAATAACGGTTCGTTTTGCCATATGGTGCCATAAGTTTACTCAGCTCGTTACATAGTGTACATTAGCTGATAAAGCGCTCACACACGCCAAAATAAAAAGATTTGTTGAATCGAGTTCTCTTTTATGATCGACAAATATTCTTGAATGCGTCAATTGAAAAGGATGATGCTTGAACAAATATTTTTGGACAAATATTTTTCAACACGTCAGTTGAAGAGAATGCTGTTTGAACAGCAATAACATATGTTTATTTGTTGCAGGCACCTTACGGAATACCCGGTGCTCCTGCTAAGTTTCCTGGAGGATTCATGCCTGCTGGACCCATGCCAATAACTGCTCCCCCTTATGGTGCTGTTCCTGTGCTTCCACACATGGCATATGGTGGACGTCCTCCATCACAAATGGTAAACTTCTTATTTTCGACTAAACACTTTTATGAGATAACACAACTATAAGATGTTCATCAAAGACTTGCAGTATTTCATTAAAACTGTTATTTAAATCATTTACAGAGTGATTATTTTATACCATGTTCGATGATATGTGATAATAATATTTGAATGCAGATTCGACCAAAGCACAGGCGCCATCCGAGTGTGGAACACGAAGACACGATAGAAAGAAAGAGACATAATAATGATGGAAAGGCGGAACATCCAAAGAGAATGTCCTCCATAGGAGAAGACCAAGTAGATTTAGCTCAAACATACACGGGATTAGATAAGAAAATTTCTGAAGAGTTCATTTCGATTGCCATGGATCCTGAAAGAAAGTCAAAAGCTTCCAGTAGTCATGATAGTGATATTGGAGTCTCGAAAACCAGCTAAATATTAGAATTTCTTTTTTTCTAGGCATATTATGTTACTACTCAGTGTACAGAATTCTCGTGTACGGCTTCAAATCGAAGGAGAAAAGTTATTTAGTTGTTTAATTGTCAACGCTTCCAGTATTTCATTCAACTTCAACCTGGTTTGTTATTCTTCAAGGCCATTGAATGCTTATCATCTTAAAAGTTTGTAGGTATGTGTGTTACATTATGATGGGGTGTTCATGGGTATAAATATGTTGCTATATTTCTAATTATTAAAAGAGTGGCTATGTATTTATGTTTTATAGCAACTGCTATGTACCTTGTAAAAAATATACAAAATATACCCACTAAAAAGAGATATAGGCTATGAAGGGTTTAATGACACATACTTTGATATATTGTTATGTAAGAGTTCCAAAGGAAAATTATAGTTTTAATACTTGACTTTACGTAATGTTAAACAATATATAAATCAATTTCTACTGCACTAAAATCTCAAAGCTTGATTCACTACCTAATATAGTTGAAAGGATATTCATAATTTTTTTAAACTGCCAAAGCTGCTACTTAATTCCTTAGTATACACAGGATCATCTCGCATAGTAAACGTTTAAGATATGTAAAATATGTAGAAAATCAACAGTCGTATTTTATGCTCATTTCAAGTCAATTATATTATTTAAAGATTAATAATAACAGTAATTAATTAGGAAATATTATTTTCTATAACAGTAATATGTATATATTTTACTTCGATCCATCGGGATTCAACAATTATCGGGAAAATCCAAACCATTTAAAAAAAATATATGTTTCATTCACGTGAGTGAAACTATTCATAGGTACCGTAAAGTCCTTTCTGTCTTTTATTATATGGCCTGTAAAGTATTACACGCGATGCTAACTTTATCTCGCCATTCCATTGTACAGCCATAACTTGAGAGAAAATTAATTCGACGCTGACTTTATTGTGTACATATTACGTGCAACGTGTATTAATACAAATAAATAAATATTTATAATGAGACCTGTTATTTGGTATAATGATTACTGATAACATATGTCTGACAATGAGATACAATATACTCACTTTAATGCTTAATATTTTATTAACGAAATATATACAAGCTGAATTTGTTAAAACTACTTATAATTACGTATAATCACATGTAGTACATATTGCCCATATTTCAAGTAAGATATATAATTGGTATGTACATTATATACAAAATACAAAAATATTGAACATTTTGCAATACGAATAATTCTTGTTCATGATAATAGCCATTACTATTTCTATAACAAAGCATATAAAAACCCGTGTAAAACTATCACAATTATTGGAATTTAACATTTAATGCATTTATACATTAATGTCATAATGAACATTTTTATAATTGATTAAGTAAATTAGTAACATAGTGAATAAAATCAAAGTACTGATATCTAATTATTTTTTCTGCAAATTATAGAATATCTTTTAAAGTGTCTTTCATGCAAAATGTATAAAAAAAATAAGTTGATTAAAATTTATTTATTTATGCTTTTAATGTCAAATGCAGAACATAATTTCATATATCGCTACCATTAACACTATATATCGACATTTCTTGAATTCTCCAATATTGATTACCTACTTTTGTTAAAAATACTACGATGCAGCGTTATTAAGTACTTGGTATCAAATTTAAATACAAGATCTAGTTCATCCTTGAAAAATGTTCCTAAACAAAAGACAGTACTATACATATAAACACTGTTTTACATTCACTATGTTCATTAATTCAGATTCCTTTATAACTAAGTTTCAAGTTAAATGGTATTATCATGAGAATCCCCGTTTCTACAATGTACAGTTATACATATATACAATTTCCTATGCCACGTTATATGTTTGGGATTTTCACTTCAGGCATTTGCTATTCAAAATTGAAGACTATAATACTTGACAAGTACACACGTTATTAACATATACTATTTACTACTTATAGATAAATACCTGTTTTCCTCTAAAAGTGTTTGTTAATTTAATGCTAATTACCTGTAAGAATTACAAAAATAATGTAAAAATTGTTCAATATCTAACTTAATATATATTCCTTAAAGGTATCTTTTAAACTACATTATTAGCAATAGGTCATGCATTAAGTGCCAGAATACTTTTAAATGGAAGACGCTGTAGCTTAATTACTGTGGCATTAAATTATTAAACTCAATCTAAGGACAACATACAAGGCACTTGTAATAATTTTAAATTAAGTCTTCAATTTTGATAAATTCGAAAACCTAAAATTCGATGCATTTTCATTGTAACTAGTTAGAAATTCTTACAAAAGTAATCATGAATTTGTAACAGTATTCCTTGAAATTGGATTTTCCTGCGATAAATCCATTTAAAGGATTTCAACTAGCATTAGATATATCAATATCAATAGTTTCTTCTTTGAGCAATGCTCGCTTGTCCTCTTTGGTGTTAGTTTGTCGTTTACCACCCATTTTACGTTTGCCTCTATTAAGTACACCGTTTTCTTCATCCATCATACGTAAAATCTGTGTTTGATCGGAACTTTCAATCGGCGCTATAGATATATCACGAACAGCACGAAATTTACCACAATTGTTTAAATGTTCGTTTTCTAAACGGAAAAAATTCCAAACAAATCGCCTTAAAATAAACATACAATTATATTAGTCAATTGTTAATGAAGTAATAGAATCTAATTGTAAGTAATAAAATAAATGATGAATTACCTAAACACTTCAAGGGGTGCTACTACGGACGTCATTAAGTCGCTGGATACGTAACCGCATTCAACGAGAACAAAACTAGCAATCCATGAAAATCTTAAAATAAAATCTTCGATTATAGCGAAATAATAGAATCCCTAGAAAAAGAAGAAGAAAAAATCAGTTGGAATAAATATCACAAAATACATAGAGTATGTAATAATTTTACATACCGCTGCTGAATACACAACTTCTTCACGTAAAAATTTATTTTCGCCAGCATTGCTATCTAAAAGACCCCAATCCATCTTTAGATCCCAAGTTAAGGAATATACAGAATTGACGAAACAACTAATCATCCAAAACCACAACCATGGATTCTCCCACCGAGTTTGATATTCCACTGAAATGAACGTATTGCATATGTATATTTTGTTACAACTATTGGAAAAAGTTATCTATGAACCTACCAGTACGATAGGCGCACATAGTATTAGATATAACAACGAGGAATGTTGTTGCATATTTCCCAGCATTGGCTAAATGTGGGAATGCTTCTTTGGAGTCTCGGTAACGTCGAATGCATTGCGCAAAACGAAACCACGCTGGTAGACAATTAACTATAGGCCTAATTATTAAGGAACCAGTCATACATTGCGTGGTATCGCTTGCTTCCAACCAATTCCCATTAGTAACGTAAAAACATGTCAAAAAATGAAAGTCTAGCAACGCTGTGGCCATGCTGTTCAACTGATCTGCTAACCAGAAATCAGCAAAAGTCACATATGCGAATGGTGATATTAAAACTCGTCCCTGAAGAAAACGACAATAAGAGTATGAACTTTATTTAATGATTCTATTTTGATATCACTCTTCGTGGTGGTTATACTTACAATAACTTTTAACAACCAAAATCGTGCCTCGTGACGGAACATTTTTAATGGATTTAGTAGAAATGCCAACATGATACAGACTAAAACTAACGGATTTACAAACGGTGGAATGCTTAAACTAGCGCTGTATAAAAAGCTCAATAAACTTAGAGTCCATATCACTCCAAGAACAGCAGCTAATTCCATAAGATGTTGTTCGGATAGATGATTTCGTGGATCCAATTCAAATATAAGTACATGATTTACACCCGATGATCTCCATCCATAAACATTCACCCCGATAAGGAATAAAAGTTGTACAATAAGTAAAGGTCCGCGATATAATCTAAATGCAATTTTTAAGTTTTCTCCACCATCGTGAAAAATTGCTGAAAATAAAATATACGAAGAAAGAATAAATAAATCAGAATTAACATTATTATATAAATTCGTGTTCTTACCTGAGAGTATCACTGCTACGAACAGGACAATGAAACTACCGGAAAATAAACCAACTTTAAAAGTTGTCCATGGACTCTGATGCTCGCCTAAAGGTGGTACGCGTAAACGTTTCATAGCCCGTTGTCTGTCTCCACCTTCTAAATCGTTTGTTACCGTAGCTTCCGTCTCTTGTATAAGCCTGTCTATGTCTTTTGATGTATAAAAATGTGCTGTTTCTACGCATTCTACCCTCCATTTTGAGCCGGTGTCTACTGACAATAACTGAAATTAAAAATAAAAATAGTATTTAATAACTTGTATTATAGCAGATACAAGTTACTACACTTAAGAGCAGTGCTAGTTGTTTTTTTTTTTTTTACTTGTGCACGATAGGATAAGGAACTTTAAAAGATAAGTGTTAGATCTTTCCTTAATTTTTCATTATTGTTTAAATGAACCTGAAAACCTAGAGAAATACGAAATATTAAGCATGGATTTATGCGAATGTTAATGAACATAATCTTATTGTTATATACCTTATCGTGCTTCTTAAGAATTTTCCGAAAACCGGTGTAATTAAGATTTTGATAGTTTTGTAGAAGTATAAGGGACAAATAGAATTCTGAAAATGCAAGCTTCAATTCCCTCAATTTCCTTGTTGGCAAGTGGGCTTTAACTGTTGCTTTCCCTTTATGTTTTCCTCCACCGTGTTGCAATTCTAATGCAATTTTCAATTCACTTTGTAGAGCTGCATATTTACGTGTTGCTTCTGCCAACTTTTCTATACAAAACAATAATCATACTTATTGCCATATCGATAGTTAAGTTTTATATAATCCCAACAAAGCTTTCCTACCAGAGTAAAAAGTATTAATTTTCTTTAATTCACGATCGCAAAATGTAAAAAATACTTCATCAAATGAGGCAAAGTGACGAGATATCACTTCAGGTTCAACACTTTCAACTGAAGGTGCTTCTTCTATAGCAGTGTATAACATTGCCTTCATTTCCTATTAATTCAAAAAAAGATTGCTTTAGTAACTATGCTACTGAGAATAGATTAAGCACATTTCCTTTACTAAAATTCTTGTTACTAAATATTACTTTACCTCATAGCTAATATATTGTTTACGCCATTCAGGTGTAATATGGGCAGACAAGTGCTCGGCAAACTTCATTTTCTTTTGCTTAATATAAAAACCTGCTATAAAAGGAAATTTTAAACATTTATTTAATACAATTGTATAATATACATATGTATTAATGATTAATAAATAAAATAAAAGCGACATCGAATTTACAATATAAGAATAAATTATAACAAAGAAAAGATGAACAATACTATTAAATATTTCATTTTTTCGCTTACCTTTAACAAATGAAACCAGAAAACAGGTTAAACGCGATGCATATAACGTTTTCAGAACCTTTGTCGGCAACGCTAATTCAATATTTTCTCAATTCGTTTACGTCGCTATAAATATCCAATATCATTTTAAATACAACGTATTACTTTTCATTTTCGATGTGTCTTTCATTATCAAATTTTACGTCGATTTTAACATCGTTACACCTCTTATACACGGTGTACAAATATTGAATAACTATTTATAACAAGTAGTTTTCTCTACTCGTTAATCAGAGCTTTTATAGAGAGACAGATATCTTTTGCTTTTTGCTAAGCCAAACAAGAATGCACACGATTAAATTGCCTAACACACATCGTTTGAGGATCTGTTTGAGTTAGATAAAACACTTATGTACTATATATGTATGTATTTAAGTACATACATTACATACATATATGTATATATACTATATATAATCCTGTCAGTTCTAGCTTTAAATTTCAGGCATTTTATATTTCAATGCATAATAATCTATGATTTGTCAATTAATTTTATTAATCTAAAATGATATTCCTTTGAATAGATATTCTGTCTTTGTTATAAATATTAGTTATTTTTCATCTGTTCAAACACTATATCAAAGATAATAGACTAATAAATAATAGTATAAATTCCAGTTCATTGATTCATCGTTTCGAATAATAGTTATTTCTCATTAGCATATTTTTTTTTTTTTGAAAACTTCACCGACCTAAGTCAAAGGCTTAACTTGACCTTGTTCTGCCCCCTGTGGCTCGGGGGGGATTAGAATACGGCCACGGTAACCCCTGCCTGTCGTAAGAGGCGACTAAAAGGGGGATGTAAAGGAGCGAGTAAGGCAGTATGATGTAAAAGTAATGCAAAAGTGTGAGAAAGGAAATGTAACTGGCAAGGCGAAAAATGTAATGCGAGAAAAGGAATAATGTAATGTGAAAAAGGCTCATAGCCGCGTGTGGACGCTAATTTTCGGTGGACAGAAAGGGGCCGTTTGTTCCTAGATCATGCCTTGTTCTGGTGATTTAATTGAGGATATAGTGCCAGTCCTGATAGTTCCAGTAATCGTCTCCAACATGGCCAGTATGAAATTAAGACACGCGGCTTTGAGTTCTCCAAAACAACTTTATAAGTTTTTGCTACGAGAATGTGAAAGACTGCCGAAAGATGCCCGACAATTTTATAAACATTCGGTTAAACAGGTATACAGGTTTTAAAACATTAAACGCTAATAGAAAATAATAAAATCGTGCAATTATCGGAAAATCTGGTATGCGCTTAATTTGCTTTGATAATTTCACGATATTATTGACATTGACATCTTTCATTTATAGAGTTTTAAACAACACTTGATTGAGCCAGACAAAGAACGGGTACGACAAATTATGGAAAAGGCAGTACACGATGCAGAATGGATCATAAATAAGGTTATATGTATACCGCAGTTCACCAGAGTCCATAACTGCGAAAAGACCAGTTTTCGTTCTTTGCACATCTCCAGTACGCATCTTCGCCCTGATTGGCGATACTCCCGAACGAAGTGGAAAGCGATTAGCAGAGAGCTCGCTGCGTTCCCCCACCATCTTCCAATCTGCGCGTCGCAGTTATGGACTCTGGTGAACTGCGGTATACATATATTTTTTATGTATACAGTATACACACAAGGTTATACGTATACATCTTTATATATTCTAACAGTTTGTTAACTTTTTTTTCAGTATACTAAAATGGAAGCAGAAAAAACGCTTGAAAAGTAACAGTTTTAATAAGGTAGTTAATTTCTCGTTAAGTAGACAAATTACATAATTATTTTTGATTTTCTTAGTCAAGAAAAAGTTTTGGAGTATTATACTTAAACAATGGATTTCACAACCATAGTAAGCCAAGAATCTGGAGCTAATGCTTCCCAGTTTTGTAAAGCAGTGAATATTTGGTTGCATAATCCTCAGATTGTGAACCGTAAGATTCTTGCTTCGAGTGAAATATTGGATATCGAAGTTAGTTGCGATATTTTGGAATTTTTTAAACGTATCGACGCTTTAGATATTTCAATGGTAACGACAGAAGATCAGAGAGACGATATCAATAGCGCAAAATTGTTAAACGTATTGCGTATCTCTGACGAATCGTCCAATACACAGCGTAACAGGAACATTCGATTATACGTGACAAAACAGTTGCCACGTATGCCTCATATATTTTCTGCTGGTATCGAGTTTCTGCTGTTGGAAAAACAGAAAAATTGTATCATAAATATTCATAAACCTTTCGTTACGGACAAACGATCCCTTGGGCCTAGAATGGCGTACATGATACAACAAGAAGCGGATAAGTTTACGTCCCTTGGTGTGTACAAATTACAAAACGTTATACACGAACAGTCGAGTATAGAATGGTTAGAGAAGAAGCTCTTTCCATGTATATTGAGGTGGATGAGAAACGAATCGAGAACCGCGTCGACACTGTCTTCGTTAAATTTCGTATCGACTGAAAAATATGCCAGATTGTATTGTAAATTGAAAGAGAAGCACGGTATGAAATTAATAAACAATTGGCCGGAAAATACAGATCCGCTGAAATTCGTTTACGAAGATATCGCTATAGCTACCTATCTGTTGTTGCTTTGGGAGAAAGAGAGGACAGAGAAAGGAACGAGTGATTTACAATCGTTCCTCGATCTAGGATGTGGCAACGGTTTACTCGTGTATATTTTATTCAATGAGGGTTATCGCGGACTGGGGATCGATTTACGACGGAGGAAAATTTGGGATTTGTATCCGTCTGAAACACCATTGCAGGTGCATCGATTTATTTAACTCTAACTAACACGAAAATTCCAACACCAAGAGTATATGTATAATGATTGAATTTTGTTGCACAGGTTTGTACCGTGATTCCGTCCTCCACGACGGTGTACACAGGAGTCGATTGGATCATTGGAAATCATTCGGACGAATTGACACCATGGATCCCTGTAATCGCAGCGCGAAGTTCTGCCGACTGTCGTTTCTTTTTATTACCTTGTTGTCCGTACGAACTGAACGGCACCAAGTATCAGAGATGTTGCGCTTCGAAAAGTCAGTACTCAGAATACATTGAATATATTAAAAATCTAAGCAACGAATGTGGTTTCGAGACGCATCTCGACAAATTAAGAATCCCATCTACTAAACGTATCTGTTTGATCGGTTGGAAAAGGGTAGAGGAAGAGAGAAAAACGAGAGAAGAACGCATTCAACGAATAATAAGCGCGAAGACGACACTGACGCAAACTAAAAAGCAGAAAGAGGATGATGTTGGTGAATGGACGTGTGACTTTAAACCGAGAGACACTGTAGAAAAAGTAAGAAACTGCACGCAATTAGATAAATCATTAATCAAGAATATTGTTGATACCGTCGCGAATCAGCTACTTTACAAAGGTCGTATCGTATCGGTGGATGAAACGCAGAGAAGAACTTGGAACGCGGGTCGATGCCTGGAGTTATGCGAAATCGCAAATTCGATACCGAAAGAAACGATGCTAAGTCTACGAAAAGAATGCGGTGGTTTGCAAACTTTACTGAGAAATCATAGTCATATTTTTTGCGTAGCAAAAGGAAAAGTTCAGTTTAGAATACCCGGAGCGGAACAGGATGATGGCGGACGATCAAAGAAAAGGAACTTTTCGACGCCACGAAAGAAAACCAAGCCCTGTTGGTTTCATGAAAATCATCCGAACGGTTGTCCAACGAGTGAAACGAAATGCAACTATAAACATTGATGGTATGATCGGGTGAAAGTAAAAACAATGGTAATATGTCTTAAAAATTTTATTTTCACTATATATCATATAAACAGAGTAAACGTGTTCTATACATCAAACACGATGGATTATTTCGTTCGTTTTGTTCAGGATAACACAAAACTAACGGTTGAACGTTGACTGTCGTAAAACACATTGGAAGAACGTAGAGTATATTGTGTACATACAGTATATCGGGTTTCGAGTAGTTGGAATAAATTTCATTAATAAAACAAAATCGATAGGAGGTGAAATTTGTACATCCTATTTAAGGAATTCAACGAATGGTATGTCATCTAAATTCAAAGTCTTTGTTTCAAGTACGCTGTCTTGAATTGATTTAGGTAGAAAATATTGACGCCCGCGCTTCAATTTCTTCGCATTGATCGTATCCAACTGATGTACCCGTCTCACGTGTGTTCGCAAGTTGCCTTTCTGTGTGAAAGAATATTCGCAGTACGGACAGGCGTACGGACGATCCCCCGTGTGATGTTTCTGATGCATTTGTAGAGTAGATTTTTGAGCGAATGATTTTGTACACAAATCGCACTTGTACGGTCGATCACCCGTATGAATCCTCTTATGCCTTTCAACCTGATAAGGCTTCGTAAATGTCTTTCCACAAATGTCACACTCTTTTCTGGCCGAGTTTCCTTTGGTTAACGTTTTAGTTGTTGTCGGTAAAGTTTTATCGGCAAACACTTTTGACAATGGTTGCTCCATTTGCATCGTCGAAGTTGCAACCGTTAACAGACAGTTGTTAGATTTCTGTTGATGCGACGACGACGACGACGACGACGACGACGACGGTAATTGTGCTGTATGAATATCTTCCTTGGCATGATCGTTGTTGCTGGTACCGGATGAAATACAGAGGGTCGGTATACACACGGAATCGGACGTCATAGTCGAACGATTGTAGGACACGTTATTAACCGACGTCGATTGCGACAATAACGATTCCTCGGTTTGAATAGTCACCAGTCCGTTCGTTAAAAGAAAATGTAGATTAGTAACTAACTGCTGATTTCCTTCGCTCGCTGCCATTGTTGGATTATTGTTCGATACGATAGCCGCATCGGTATCGGTATCAAAGTTGATTTGATCAGTTAAACAGGTTGCAGCTGCCTCGACGCTAATTGTATCCAAGCGAGGATAATCCTTTGTCTGCGGCAATTGTTGCTGCTGTTGATTCAGTTCGAAGTTACTCGTTTTCTCTATATTTCTACCAAGATTTTCTAAATCAGCCGCTACTTCTGCTATGGCAGCAACTTTTAGATGTTTCTGTTTCCTCTTTGGACTCTCCTTATGTTCCCGCGCGTGTTTCAATAAATGTACTTTTCTGTGGCCCGAAGTCCGAAATCTCGAGTCGCATACAGGACATTTGAATGGCTTCGAACCTTGATATAATCGAACAAATTGTAACAAATACTCTTATCTATTATTACAAATCGTTTATGCATATTACTCACCTGTATGTAACCGCATGTGAACCTTTAGACTGCCCTTGGTCGCAAACATACTGTTACAAACATGGCATCGGAACGTCTTCTTACCGGTATGAACTTTCGTATGCGAATCCAAAGTACATTTCACGGCAAAGCTTTTGCTACAGAAATCGCACTTGTAAGGTCGTTCTCCTGTATGTGTACGCACGTGCCTTATAAGATCACTCGGCTTGCGAAAAGTTTTCGGACAAGACTTACACTTATTCGTGTATTCTTTTCGTTCCCTTTTCTCCCCTGAAACAGTCTAAAATATTACAGTTATTACTCCTCTGGTCATACTATCGAGAACACTCTCCTTGACTTACTTCTATTTGATCCATCACTGCCTTTTCCGCCATTGTGTCCAACAGAACCTTTTCAGAGACAGCTGAGTCTGGATCTATCGCGATATCGTTTAAACACGGGTCGCTGTTATTCGTAACTGGTTGTAAATCTGACGAAACCGAAGTCTCCGTAGACATTGCGTTCCAAATCGAGATTTCATGAATTTTGCTATGCGATCGCAACTGCGTTCTGCTACTGAAATATTTCTCACAAGACGAACACTTCCATGACCTAGAGAAATTACAATAATTGAATAGATCTAAAACGCACGAATGAGTTTAACAAAATATCTACTTACTGCTTAACAACATGTATCTTCGAATGTCTGTTCAGTCCACCGTTTGTGCAAAATCTTGAAGAGCACTCTGTACATTGATATTCCTTTGTTCCACGATGAGTCTTTAAATGTTCCTTAGATCAAACGAAACAAGGGAAACGTGAAATATTTACAAAGTTTTCCCGGTATGGACTTGATACGAATCGTATTAGAAACACGCCAGCCGAAATGGCAACGAGTAATAAGATAATTTAAATAGAGAATACCTTTAATCCGATTGCCGTAAATCCTTGTTGACTACACATATGGCATTGTAACAAAGATTCACCGTGTGATATTTTATTCGTACAGGAGGACATCGCGTTCACTTCTGATTGATTCTTTATCGATTCTTGTTGTACCGATCCTCCGAACTCTTCTCTGCGCACACAAATGATACGTATCATTCTTTTACGTTTAGCGGTTATCACATGGTTAGATACGCGGTAAGACAGAAAGAACTTACGTCAATAGCATCGGACTCATTACACATTGTTTTCGTATAGCGTCTTCGTTCACTCCTTCCAATTCCGTCGTTGCATCTTCCTTTCTCGAAAGATTTTCTTGCGAAATGAACACTACCGTTTGAATACTAGTTTTTCCCGATTCTTCTCTGTCCTGGGCATCCTCAGACAGCCGATGTTCTTTCGCAGTTCTAGGGAGTATACTTACCATACTCGTCGAATCGCTTGCAACCAATCCGATATCAATTTCAGTGTCCGACTAAAAGAACAAAAAACTCTTATTCGTCAAATTGTTTCTGCGATACATTTGCTTATTATTACAGATGCCTTTTATTAATAATGATACTTTGATCTTACTTGCAATGCAATATGATCCATCTCGAATGAATCCAATTGCGATGAAAATACATGCTCCTCGGATGGTTCTACGTTGCTGTCATCCCCTTCCTCTTTTTTATCATTATTGTTATTGTTACTGGTATTATCATTGTCAGTGTTTTCGTACATAACGTTCAGCACCGTTCGTTGCTCTTCCTCTATGCCTTTTGCACCATCAAAATCATTCGCATTCGCGTTGTTTGAATGTCTCGAATGACTATTTTCAAGATTAATGTTCATTCCGATGTTAAAAAACTGCTGGTTCAATGTTTCTTCTATTTCTCGTATACTCTCCTATAAATAGAAATTAGATTTTCAACATTTCAAGCAACACAGTTGGATGATTTACATTATTCGTGATAGGTGTACCGGTGTAAGTGCTTGATCACCGGAATAAACGGGGGGCAATGTAACCGAACCAGTTTCATCAGCGTGTAACATTTGTGTATTTTCAAGATTCGCCATTACCGTTTCCGATATGTTGTCTAAAACAAAAAAAAGGCAAAGGTGTAAGTTGAAATAAGAATGTTACGATTCTTGAAAATAAGTTATACAACAGAGGAATTCGAAACGTACGATTAATAAACGTCGAAGCGTCGCAATTTCCTGATAAAACTGGTCTCGTCTTCTCCTGCTCCGGGAAAGTTTGTGAAAAATCGGTACCGAGTTGTGGCTGAAACGATATTTCAACCGCGCCAAGACGAGAAAACGACGTAAGATTGTCGGAAAACGTAGAAACGGCCGTTGTAATAATCGCAGAAGTGGCAGCGACGGTCGTGACGACATTTGTACTGGTAGCGTTCGAAACAGAGGGCGAACAGCTCGATTCGAGAGTTCTCATTTCTTTGGAATCTTCACGGAAAATCTGCTCCGTCGATTGTTCCTGCATTTGAAGTTTCTGTTGCTCCAATTGCTACAAACGAATAGAAGAAATAATTGAACGTTCATATGCAATAGTAATCTGCAGTGGTCGTCGTGTCCATTTTTTAATCTTCAGTAGATATATACATATATATCATACCCGTTGTGCCAATTCGTGTTTATGGATTTTCATATGCTTCCGACAATTCACGTAAGTCTTGAAAGTCTTGTGACAGTACGGACACATGAATGGTCTTTTGTTACTGTGAGTAACTAAATGCCTTTTCATGCTACTTTGCGTAGAAAATTTCGCATCGCATATGGGACAACCGTACGGTCTCCAATCTTCGTGCGTGTGTAAATGTGATTTTAACACGCTGTTCGATGTGAATCTCCTGAAAGGACATGAAATATTTATCCCGAATATTTATTCGAACGCGGTAAGGAAACACTACCTGTCGCATTTGGTGCATTCGTAAGGGCGTTCACCGGTGTGCCGACGATGATGTTGCTTCAAGTGACTGATTTTTCTGAATGCCGCTTGGCAGACCAAACATTTGTGCGGTCTAGCTGGATCGGTAGACGCATCGTAAGCACGTTTTTCCTTTGATGCTACTTGCGCGACGCAAATTTTATTCCCCGTATCACTGATTACCAAGGGTTCTTGTAACACTACTTGCTGTGCTAGGCTCTCCGCTTCGGGTGATAACTTTGACTTATTCTTAGCTTGAACTTTCGACTGATTGACAGACTGACAGACACCGCTGATACTTTCTCTGGTGTGCACACCGCTGTTCTTATCATCGTCGACAATTGTTTTATTACAATTGTTTTTAGATTTTCCATGCAATCTGTGATTAAAATACATTCATCTTTGGATTAACGATTCAATATAATCTGGAGAAAAATGTAGCGCGAAGGCTCGCTCACCTGGTATGGCCAACTAAACTTCCATGACACGCAAATGTTTTATCACAAGAATCGCAAGCATATCTTTTCGTACCAGAATGAGTTCGTTCGTGTGCTATCATGGTAGACTTCAAAGCGAACGAACGATAACAATGCATGCACTGAAAGTATAGAAAAAGTGTGAATGCCTTGCAACAGAAAGGTATATAGAAGAAATTTCTTTTTCCCTGACAATCGCATACCTTGAAAGGTTTCTCCTGCGTGTGTACACGAAGATGACGTATCAAATCTGACGACTTTTTAAACTCCTTATGACAAAAGGTACACGCGTACCACCTTATGTTCCCTACGCATCGCTGTTTTATGGTTAAATATTTTCTATAAAAACAAGGAAAATACTGTATGAGATACAAGTTAGGTTCTTTCTTAAAAATATGAAACAAATTACCTAGTGCCACCGTCGGGCGCTCGATCCAATAACGTTACAAAATTAGTACGCGCCCCAAGCTTTTTCGTTTCCGTCGTACCTTTGACAAATAAACTTCGTAAGCAGGACAGTACTAATTAAAGATAATTTCCTCACGTATTCTTGTAATGTTCAATTGCATCGTATACCTTCGTTCAGGGTTTTATTTTTACTAGGGAGACCACTATTTTTCAGTGCTTCTTGTAATATATCCTTTTTCATAGTTCCTTCCGACGATAAATTCGCTTTGCTATTTGACGATTTTTCAATTTCTTCTGTGTTCGCTTCCAATGACGCCAACTGTGTTATAACACTGTCCACGGTCGCACGTATATCGGATTCCATGATATCGGCCGGATGAGCATCACTAGCAGCAGCAGCAGTGGTTCCTTCCTAAAAATTCCATACAGTTTGTTTCAATCGTTTTATTGCATTTTACAATAATCGAAGAATTTACCTCGTCTATATCGGCATGCATGCGTTTCATATGGCCGTTCAAACTTCCAAGCTTTTTAAATATGCACGAACAATAGTTACATCCATATATTGGCTCTCCCTCTGGCACATTGTGAACTCTCATTATATGAGCGTTCAAATTACCTGTGGCGACACGTTGTACAGATTTGTTTAGAAAAATAAAACGAATCGAAGAATATACGAGTTCGTAGAAAGTGTATAGCGGTAATCGCAATTATAAAAGTACCTTTCTGACTGAATTTCGCGTTACAAAGTTCGCAAGCATGAGGCCGAATACCATTGTGCTGCCACGTATGAATCTGCAGCGAACTTTTTTGTGTAAATGCACGACTGCACACGGTACACTACAAAATTGAAGGAAAATCAAATTGAACGTCGATCGACGAGCATCAATATTAACGACGTACAACATTAACGTGAACTCACTTTGAAAGGTTTTTCACCGGTATGCACTCTGATATGGCGCATTAATTGACTCGGTTTCTGGAAAGACTTTAAGCATATCGTACATTTATATACAGTTTTATGTTTCGTTCCTTTTTTCGTCTGTTTTGTCACTTTAGTCTGCAACTAAATAGGGGGAAAAAAACAAATGATAAAACAAATGAAAATAAATTTTAAGACGTGCAACCCGCTACATACCCTGTAATGTTCACGAATATGAAGCCTGTACAAAGCCGGTTGACTAAATTGTTTATTGCATAGCTTACACTTTCGCGCCTCTTCCGTCGCCCACTTTTCTCCGTGAAGTTTCAAATGTGCATCCAATTGAGCCTGTGAATTACAAGCAACAAACATGTTGTTATTTTCTACTTGACACAACTGTTTCTTCATTTACTCACCGCTAAAAGGGGAAACCTACTTTAGTTGAAAAAGCGTCTTCGCATTCTGTACAGAACAAATTTTCTTCTTTTTCGTGTAGCAACATATGAGACTTTAAACTAGCCATTCTTGTAAATTTTTTCCCACATTCTGGGCACTTTGGTTCGCCCGTATTATGAGTCGCCATATGAAGAGTAAAATTGGTCTGGCACAAAGATATCAGGTATTAAGAGACGATAATTGAACAACGAATTAAAAAATCGTTATCAATTACCGGTACATTGAACGATGCAGAGCATTTTGGACACCGATGCGGTTTCTCTTCCGCATGATTTTCCATGTGTTTCCGATATAAAGTCCGTTTGACAAATTCTTGATGGCATATGTCGCATCTTAAACATTCTGTACCCTATTATATTTGAAGGTCATGCAAATAGTTACAATTATAATTGTATATGGAATAATGTTGATAGTAAAAGATAAGCAGTGAAATTACTTGTAAGGAAACTGTTGCAGTTTTCTTAGGTCTTCCAGGGCTATTTCTTTTGACACCATCGTTTACTGACTTTTGCACAGAGCTTTCATCCTGTTTGTTAATTGTTGTTAAATCATTTTGCAAAGGAGATCGGTATTCCCAACTAGTTTCTGTCTTGCACTTTGCTTCCATGGACATTTGTGACTTTAATCTGTCGTCAGTAGCAGTACCAGATTCAACATTTTCTGTAGGCTGTTGTAGATCTGTCCCATCTACGATATCTTCTATGTTCAGTTGAAAAATAGGCTGAAATAATCATACCTCTTAAGGAAAAAGTTCTCTTCGAAAATAAATAAAAGGACAGAATAATCCTAAACCTACAGAGTGCAGTATAAAGTTTTCATTAAAGTTTTTTACATCAACCAAGGAAGTTGGTGAACCGTTTTGACCGATGAGCGTAACTGGAGTTGCAACGATTTCCATCATACCATCTTTATGTTCTGTAAATGTTGTAACGTGTTGCAAATTAATCTCCAAATGTCTTCTGATCGTTTCGTTGAGGAAATAACTCACCTGTCACTGCCAAAAGCGTTCGACCATCCTCGGTGGTAACAAGATTAATCGGTATAGCCTCAACGTGAGGTGATTCTGTGATTATATTATGCCGCGTCAACATCTTTCTCTAATTTCAGAGTACTTGTGCGATTAACGAAGAAAATAATTCTTCGTACAAGTATTTATATATATATATATATAAATAGGTACAGTGATATTGCACTGGAAACAACGATGATAATATTCCGATGCACTAACTATGTTTACGAATACCTTTCATCAATTTCAATTGTCTAAAAATTATTTCGGACAATTCAAATATTTGAAATTGTTCGTAAAGATGCATAATTCACTTTTCTTTCTTCTTTATTTTACGAAAGATTAAAAAAAATTTAACCTATCGTGGAATAAGGAGGTTAATTTCACTGAAAGGCGTCATCGAATTATAATGAGTCGGTAAAGAAAACGCTAGAAATAGGAGAAATTACATTGCATGTAGTTTAGGAAGAACAACATTTTGTTCTACCGCCGGTAAAGTCGTTCATTTGAAAGTAGCCCCTGGAAATTGCTTATCAGGGAAATGAGTTTACACGAGAGGGCCGGGAAGCCGGGAAAGCCTATGGAAAGGGGCATCGCCATTTTTCCAGGAGAAACCTAACATACTCGATACTGTAGAAAAAAAACGGGTTGATGGAGGTCAATGTCTTTGCATCGTTCAAAGCGTCAATGTGACTGATGCATCTCCGATGCGCATTCAAGTTCCAACTAAAAGTTTTGCAGCAGTACTGCAGTATTTTTACCCTTGACAACTCGTCGTGTAATCGTGGTAAATGTTCGTGCGCACTCGACGTGAAATCGTTATACCACCCTAAACTCTGCACGAACTTCATGGCATTGAAAATTCGGGTTCTGTTTATGAACAGTGGTTCTCAAAACAAACATCACAAAGAAAGAATATTTTCTTTAATTTCACATAAAAATTTTATTTGTAAAAAAAGTAATTTACATATATAAAAAATAATAGTCAATGACTTAGGAATTCAAATAACAACTCGTTATGCGAATGTAACAGGTGCTGCCACCTTTTGCAAAAAAATTTAGCAATCTATCAGAACGTATTCTAGAAAAAATTTGAACATAAAGATCGTAATATATCTGAAATGCATAAAAGTAATAATTACGCATACTATTAATTGTTTTCTTAATCGTAAAAACAATGAAAACACGGTAAGTCTCATTCGCAAACAAGTATATCTGTTCGTGTACTATTCCAATCTAGCGTTACGTTATTATTTAAGAAGCACTTATTTTTAGTGAACCGTATTAACGCAAGAATTAATCTTAATGATAGTCACGGTAATTCTGGTACAATTTTTTAGTGCGATTCTATTATCATACCTCGACAAACATTGAGACTATCATAATGATCACTTGGCAGTCGTTTTCACGAACAACGATAACGAGACATTTACGCCTATTTTACAACATTGATAAATAATTAACTAGCTCGAAATAGGTACTCGTTATTTCTTAGATAAGTATATCGTCGTTGTAATAGAAAACGAGCTATATTATAGCGGCGAAAGCTAAAAATAGAATTTCGCCACATTTTTACAGTGAGCGCCAAAGACACTATTTTAAAATTCAACTGAGCGATATTTTAAAATACAAATGGTTCCTTGACGGATCCTAGATGGACCCCGTTCACTGTTTGCACAAAACTGAATTATTTTTAAATGTTATTCGTTTCTTTCCTTGATCTAATTTTAGCCATATTTTTTTTTTTACATAACAGTATTATTCTTTTCTTGTCTAGAGTCTTTAAGACAACAATACTGACTAGATTTTTTCCCTTTTTGTTATTACATGACGGGAAAAAACACACGCTGCAGTTTCTTTCCTCCCCACTTATCAATGCCGAATGATTCGTATCTGTCTAAGTTTTCACCTTCCGAGCACGCTTCCAATTAAGTATGCTTCCGCGTGTCCAATTATATAAAGGAAAGAAAAATGTTGTTACGTGCAGAATACAAATAAATTATTTTATTCTAAGCACAAAAGCTTCATGTTCTGAAAAAGGAAAGCACTGTATACTTTGCAATGCTTTATATTACAGTAGAACGTTCGATTATCCGAACATGGATCAGCCGAGTAAATACTGGAGTCTAAATAGAATTAGTTCGGATAATCGAGGTTCTACTGTACCTACTACTTACTGTTACAACACTGTTATAATAATACAGTAACAATGAGAAATTAGTATACAAAGATAATACTATTCCGTAAGCTCAGTCTATATCCGATAGTTAATCGTCGTTTCTAATTCGAAGCGACGGAAATTACCAGTTTCTTTGAATGGTAATTATCGCGTGAACAACGCGAGACACGAAGGTGTTTCATTTTCGAAAATCAGTTTAACAACGTCGAATGAGAATTCATCCGTGAGTCGAGCTCTATTTCGCGTTGAAGAGACGCGACGTACCACGAAGTGCTCTCTTGTTAACGATTTACTCGATGCTGGTAGGCACAATGCGCGTGTAATGAAGTAACAAAGAGAGAGAGAGAGAGAAGGAAAAAAGAAAAATCGTAATCTTGAAAGCGGGTCGGATCTCGAAACTTCACCGACCTAGTGATATTAAAAACCCGTCTCGCGTTGCTATCGATCATTGATGTGCACGGCTGCTAATTCAAAAACGTTTCGGAAATCATTTCAGTCATGCATTATTCATCCTCCATTTGCATACAGTTTTTGGGGCCAGAGATACTTCCGTTTAATTGATAGGCTTCAATCAAAAAAGGAACTTCACTCTATACTTTTAGCTCTGTGTACGAATATGTAATTATAACGAAGGCGTTTCCAATATGACGTGTACCGTTTGATAAAACTTGCAAATTCTGTTCTTTTGAATCGTATCAGCTTTACCATGCTTCGTTTCACCAAAGCGGATGTACAAACATCCTCGTTAGCTTATCTGTTTTTGACAAATAGCTTGAACCAAAATGTAACCAAGCAAACGAGATAATGTGTACCAAGAATTGTCTCTGCGCTTCCGATAAAAAATAATTTCCTGTGCTACTTTTTCAAATTTATATTCCTAAACGGCGCGGTCCAGACAGGGGGTGAACTTTTCAACTTAGACTTCAACGAAAGCTTCTGTAACTTCTTCTTCCTCTTCGCGTAAGAACGGTTTGACCTTTAATGAAACAGCCGTGGAGAAATTTAATGAATTCCGCTTTCGGATTTTAAAGCGAATCGTTCCTATCGTCGGCTAATATTTCGTTCAATATGCGCTCGTTATGATAGAAATCCAGAGAAACAAGGTGGAAATTTTCACAAGTTCCTCGAACGCCTCCGAATGACGCATTGTTCTTCCTGTTCAGATTTCGCATGTATTCAGGGACAGAGAACTAGGAACCTTGCTCAGAGAGAGCTTGTTCCCTTGTTCATTTTGAAAATAAACGTTCTAAACAAGTACCTGGAAACTTGTTAAGAATATTCCACACCTCGTGGAGACCCACAATCTCAGACACTTCAGGTACTTGATTTATTTAGATAGTTTTTATTCGGCTACCTGGAATGCTTAGGTACTCGGCTCAAGCGCTCAAACACTCGGCTACTTAAGTACCTGGTACCCGAGCATTCAAGCACATCACTGTAGAGTACTTGGGTACCTCAAAATAGGTACGGTTGCGTAAAATTTAGGTATCCCTTAGTTAAAAAGTACAGGAGATTCTAGGTAAGGATCTTCCTAGGTTCCTCCAATTGGTGGGAGACTCCTCCCCTCTATTAATTCTTAACCGATTGAAACGAATCAAGTAGTACCATGAATTTTTCATGTTTATGAATTATTCAACTGTAGTAGGTATTATTTATGACACTTGCTTAGTAACAACTCTTATGACACAAGAATTCGCACGCACGAGTTCGCCAACATCACTTAAAGGGGTCTTCTGAATAACCCTCGGATGCTGGCCGTTCGTAAATTACACTAACGTTTTCTTTAAATATCATTCCCTGGCCTTGAGATAAATCTAGGGGACAGCAGGTTTTGTGGGAATTACGTAATTTGCCAAAATGAATGAACGTGACTTGCATGATATTTTTAAATAATTCCCTACGACCTCATTTGCGGAAGATAGAAGGGAAATGATGAGTGCACTGAAGTGTTCGCATCGTAAATTACAAAAATCTTCAACGAGATACTCATTAAGGAATTGATTTTTGATGAACCGCGATACAGTTTCATCGTTTCTACTATCCGTCGATAAAATCGTGTAGGGATGAACTGACCATGTGAATCACAAAGAAACAATAAATTATTTTTTCAAAATAAATTGATAATACGTGCAAGGTTCTTGAATTTGTCCTTGATATCACTATCGATAAAATCGTCACGTCAGATAACGTACACTTCTTCTTTTTCTAATGAGCATAATCATAAATAAAAAGCTGTCAATTTGAAAGCGGAAATATGATCTACCGATTGCAAGTAGGTACACGACTACGTATGTATGTATATACACGTGTGTCGTGTAACGTGACAATGTGAAAAATTTACACAAACTGTTTTCTTTTGACAATGAAAAAATTAACGGGTAACACGACACCTGTGTGCCCAACAAATACCAACAGTCGTGCATTTTCTGTAGAAGACCACGGATCGAATGGGATATCGCGTTCAAATCAATCCACCTTCCGTCGCGTCGTGTTATTTTGTTTCGCGTATCCGTGACAGCTTGCAGGAAAATAAATAAAATAAAAAGTCACGTCATCCTTTTGACGGAGATCGTGCGTTATACATCTATTTGCATAGGTTAACATTTAAAAAATATCATTTTATCAAGGAGGAAGAACCGAAACAGGAATCACCGATTCCACGTAACGGTCCGTTCCTTTCACTTGACCTTTTTAAAATACAAATATGTCTATCGAGCACTGGTTTTTCCTTTAAAACAAAACTTAGCTCACTATTGTGACAGACACTTGACGTCAGTCTTCAGATAGATGCAAATCGAAGTAAAAGGGAACAAAGTGACGATGGTAAAACAGTGTTGGATTCGTGCGGGCAAAAATAAGGGGGGAGTCTCTAGTACAACACACGATGGTGTCGTTTACATGCAACGAGAATACGATATACGTTTTCGATGCCGAAGAGAAAACACAAGATATAATGGTTTCCATTCAGGTACTTTAATAAACATGTACAGTTGAACGTATTATTATTATTTGATGATGTATATATCACCTTTTGAACACGGGCGGACTCCAGCGTCATTTCACAATATATGACCGAGCAAACACAGTGAAATGATACGACCTTGAATTCGAACCCGCCTAATACGCATCGAATGAAATTATTATAAACTATAATTGGCAATGTTTCCAAACAAGTATATGTAACCGTTTGTGTTTCTTTAAT